GTTAAGGGCCTTGTGAATTGGGGCCAGGGCTCTGCGGTTAGTAACCGTACGGGATTCTCCTTTGACTTGTCTAACATTGGGATGGGCTTTTGCTGGATCGAGGTACGCAGCTGGCAGCGATGGTGTCCTGTAGCAGCAGATTCCCCCATTTACCTCCCTTCCGAGTATTTTGCCGGGGATGTGACTGCTACGTTCCCCACACAGCTGCATCGAGGGAGCCCCGCTCCTCGCAGGAGCAGGTAACCGGCCGGCGACCCCCTGACACAGCACCGAGAGCGGAAAGCCGAGGGGAGGGGACGTGCCCCGTACCACAGTGGCACTTCGGGATCTTGCTTCAGGGATGTCTCGGAGGTGGTCGCACAGCAGCCAGATGTGTCTCCTGTTTAAAGCTTGGACGGGGCCCAAAAGCTTGGGGCGTTGGAAGCTGTGCTCTGCCGAGGGGTGCCGCCGCTTTCCAGGCCGCTGCGCTTCTCCGCAGCGCTGCGACGGCCTTGCCCTGCCTGCCGGGGCCGCCGAGACGGGCGAGAAAACAACCCCTGCAACACGCGGGAACGGAGAGGGCTTTGGTGGGCGGCCGCGGGGCCTCACCGCCTCACTGCACCTCCAGGCCTCTGGCGTGCCCCAGCGCTCGCCCGTGCGGTGTTTTTCCACTCTGTTAAGATAATAAACAGGTGAGGCTGAATGTCACTCGTGTTAAGAAATCATGTTAAAAAAAAAAAAAAAAAAAAATCAACCAAGGAGCTGAGCTGAGGATCCCAGCTGTCTGGTAAACGTTAACTTCTCCTTTCATGCCCCGAAAAACATTCATCGTGTATCGAAAATACCCGTTTGCATAATCAAAGCCGCCTCAGTTACATTGCCCTGAAGTGAAACAGTTTCTGCAGGTTGAGCAAGCTGAGCTTACTCCGAATAAAATACTGCTTCGGTCAGGTGAGAGGTTTCGTTTTGACTTTGAACGTTAACGTTTTTTCTAAATACAGCAGAAGCAGCTCCCCAAACGCGCCAGACTCGGGGAGGGAGCGCTAACCTCGGCTTCGGCACAGTTGAGGGGTTTTTTGCCTTTTTTGAGCGCGTCAGTGTTTGGGGTTTGGATGGGACCAGGGCACCCACGGGGCG